CAGACAGACAGACAGACAGATAGACATAGACAGACAGACAGACAGACAGACAGACAGACAGACAGACAGACAGACAGACAGACAGACAGACGGACAGACGGACAGACAGACAGACAGACAGACAGACAGACAGACAGACAGACAGACAGACAGACAGACAGACAGACAGACAGAGACGAGAGACAGACAGATAGATAGATAGATAGATAGATAGATAGATAGATAGATAGATAGATAGATAGATAGATAGATAGATAGATAGATAGATAGATAGATAGATAGATAGATAGATAGATAGATAGATAGATAGATAGATAGATAGACAGCTACTAAAATGACTCTGTAATTGACGTATTGTAGTTTCCTCCATTATTCTGTTACTTGTGTACTTCAAGCCTAGCGCCATGTCTGATCGAATAAATGAGGTTCGCGTGTCGAGGGCACTACTGACTGTCAGCCAAAAATGCGTTTATAACAGAGGATTGCAGCCACTTGGGGTCTGTCTGCGTCTAGCTGGGTCGTTTGGCAACCCAGGTAATTATCGACAACACTGTTACAGCAGTGCTGAACAGTGTTGCCACTTTGGATGTTTTACATCCAGATTTAGATGTTTTCCCCTTGTATTTAGAAGGTATTTTTGACGTTGAGATTGTAGATGTTTTTCTAGAAGTTTTTCATTTGGTATGAATTTATCAAATCTACCCTAAGAAACAGTATGAAATTTGACCTCTTAAATGCTATCTTGACAGTAAAATTCGGCGTGATAAGAGTAGGAAAAGGCTGTTCCACTTATCAGCTCCCTGATTTGGGTATTTAAAAAAACTGGAACAGCTAAAGCGTACCATAGTTATTTTGGATCTGAAGCTTTTTTATCCAAGCTAAGTTTATGCTATGGATCTTGTGAGGCAGACTTCAGTAAAGATGAGAACATGATTTTACAGGGTAAGTCATATCAATAGCTATATAATTTGTGACTCTTTCCATTTGGATGTTTTTTCTAGATGTTTTCCACGCAACTTTCGTTTTGAATGTTTTTTTGTCAAAGAAAAGTGGCAACACTAGTGGTGAGAAGTACGAGAAGTTCTAGTCGTGGTAGGTAGATGCTTTGCTGGGAAATTTGTTTTTTGGAGCGTCACGTTTAGCCAGCATCCCTGAAGGAGGAGCTTTAGGTTATAATTGTGACTAGGTTATGTGGGCAGTATAAAAAGGTTATTAGCATTGCACGCCACCAAGAGCCCTGAAAAGAACTTCTCCAGTGTTGATGCGATCATAGGCGACAAACCCAATTACTGTCCCGACCGGCGACGATGTCGACAACCGGCAAGCCAATGGACGACCCGGTCGTCGATGGAGGCTGCAGTCTAAATTGATGTGGTTATATACACGCATCAAAGTAGCAGTATGTATATCAACAAAATGAATGAATCTGTTCGTACAAACAGCACAGAGACAAATTTGAGAGCCGATCACATTTTCCCTTCTCCCACTAATACAGTCACCATCTAAATCAGCATACGGGAGCGCCTGGCTAGAGGGCAAAAGGAAGCTTCAAAGGGGCGTAAAGTCATTTTGAAATTGCATGCATTTGTTCCTGTAATAATCGTTACAGTAATTTTCTTTTCAGTTTATTTATTATAAAAAAGAATTTTAAACTATTAATAAAACAAAAGACCAGAAGACGTTTATGTTTTTACGAGCAGGCTGTACATCAACTGTTTGAAAAATCGTACTGGTATGATAACTGGCAAACAGCCGCTACAGCTTGTATCTACCATGGGGAGGGGATGTCCGTTAAGTCAAAAGGATTATTAGTGTTACAACTAGTGCTGTCGCCACAGACTGTGCAGGATAAGAATTGTATTTTTTGCCCGGTATAATATTTAACTATAGTTTAAGATCACATTATGAGCAAAATATTATATCCATACTTTCTGTTTTGCCTTGTTGCTGGCACGTGAGCACTGCACATTTTGAAAGTAAATATTTACGTCACATGTTAAATAATTTGACATCATGGCCATCGTAATTTTTGTTGTTGTTGGGGGGGTGGGGGGGTGGGAGGGGGTACCATACTAAATTCTTAATTCTAAGTAAAACAAAAATTGGGCGCGGTACACTTTTGCTAGGCAAGGGTAGAATAGTGCCAAATGTATACGAAAATAACAATTTCTGCAGCCTTGTTTGACGCTGTTACTTGTTGGGGGAGAAATTGCGTTAAACTGTTTAATGTGCTTCTGTTTTAGAGACAGAAATGTTATAATGTCTGTGTAAGAGAAAAGACTGTACAAAGATTACTATAATAGGTTTGCTTTAACAGTGTTAGACGGTAAGGGCAAGAAACAATATCCTCTCAACAATGACGCAGTGAGACCTACTGTACGTCCAGAAAGGTATTTAAGTAGAGTACATCCAGATTTAATAAATTAATCTGCAGACGGTTTCGCTTTATAAACTTCCTAAAACTGACGAAATTGGATTTAACACATTTTTAAAAAAATTTCCCTGTGTGGGTTACGGGGCCCATTGTGTGCCGGTGCCCCATTGTGGGTTCCATATCCCCATTGTGGGTTCCGGGGTCCACTGTGGGTTCCGGGGCCTATTGTGGGTTCCGAGGCCCATCGTGGGTTCTATGGCTCATTGTGGGTTCCATGACCCATTGTGGGTTCCGGGGCCCATTGTAATGTGGATTCCGGGGTCTATTGTGGGTTCCAAGGCCTACTGTGGGTTCCGGGGCCCACTGTGGGTTCCGGGGCCTATTGTGGGGGAAAACAAGAACAAATTTGCCCACCCAAAAAGCGTGTCGTAAGAGTCGACTAATTGAGAGCTTCCTTCGAAGTGGGAGTGCATTTGCCCGAGCGGCAAGTAAGAACCAACTGCACACAAATAAGCCAGTAAAATGGATGTACACAAAAAACTCAGGCCCTGGTACAAAGCCAGAATCCAAATGGACGAAGAACCAGGACTTTCCGCCGGTAACAAAGAAGAACAAGAAAACAGAGTGTTTTCAGTCAACAGAATGAAAAATATATTGAAGCATTATATGAACAATCTGACAAATAGCGAGGTTTTTGAGGTTTTGAACAACGGATCAACATCATGGCACATGGGTACTAACCCATAAGTGCTCCGTTCTTCTTCTAACTCAAGTCTGAGTCCGAAAAAGCACAGGACAGTGCACCGGCTCTATGGCACCGGCGAGGATCCTGAAATACTTTAGGTAGATTTTAAACTCCAAATTGTGCCTGGGTAGCGCCGTTAGGCAACTTTTTTTTCCAAGGGATTTTTCACGTGCGCAACAATGCACACGGGCGTCCGATCTCATTATCCAGAGACCAGGGGAAATGACTAGAAGTCCAAGCCTACGTGAAAAAATCCCAGCCCTTACCGGGGATTGAACCCGGAATCTCTAGCACTCGAAGCGGACACCATACCTCGAAACAAGGCAGCCCCCCTCTAAATGTTTACAAACAACATACAAGACCCGTGATGAGTTTAAACCATAGATAATTCCCCCCCCCCCCAATTTCCCCCTTTTTTCCCTTTTCCCCCTCTACATAAAAAAAATTGATGTTCGTGAGTGTAGTGAGTGTTTGTACGTAATGTTCCAACTATGATAGGTTATCGTTCTTGGTTACATAAACTGGTTAAAGAACAAATCCAAACATCATGATGTTTTTAAATTCACAGACAGGCCTAGGCAGCCAGAACTTTGCCGTAGTATCCGACAGACGCATAAAGCTGTGAATTTTGCGAAATCAAGCTCACTGAACACACGACTGTTTCATGCAAAACATAATGTTCTATTTTTAAATGTATATACAACTGTAGAGGACTTTATATTTAGCAAAATGCTGACTTCTGTTAAAAAGTTATACTGAATAACAACAGCTGTTGCCAGACCATTGCATAACCCAAATGTCAAAGTCTTAACACCCACACGTTCCCTGATGACATTTATTTGAAACTCACACGCTTCGACATGACAATATAAAGTAGCTATAAATAATATCACGTATATGTCAAACCTTGTTTTGCTACTTGGGTTCTTCTATGTGTTTGTAGGTGCATGTTTTATTTCCGGAGACTAAAATAGTTTTATTACTTCACTTCTCCGTGTTAGCATGTAATTTAAAAGCCTTTATCTAGGCTACACAATAAACAGCAACGGATACTGTACAACAGAAGTCAAAACGAGGATTTTTATAGAAATGAAAAGATTAAAACGGTACGGATGTGAGTCATCGACTGTCTTGAAGTCATTAAGGAAGAAGCTGAAATGCTACAGAAAAGTTCTCAGCATACCAGGGGCCAAAAAGGAAAGAAATACTGACATCCTAAAAGGTCTAACATCAAGAAAGATTGGCTGGCAAACAACATTTTGTCTTGGAAACTAAAATATCTTGGCCACATAAGGTGCCACGATGAACTGGGAAAAATATGAGAAGGGCTTCATATGAAAACCTTAAAAGTTTGATAGAAATTGCAATAACCAGGTAACTGTCTTGTGATCTGTCAGAGCCGTTGTTAAGGATGTCAAAAGTGTTATAAATGTGACATGATGCAGGTGACAGGGTGACGTTATATGACAGTTTAAAGATGGCCGCCCCACGTCTGACATGCACCAAAGAGGAGCAGCGTTGTGTTATCCTAGTTGATCAGTGAAGGGGTGAAAACAATTAAGATTCTGCGGGAATTAAAGGTCTAGTATGTTGATGTATGCCTGATCCAGTATGTTGATGTATGCCTGATCCAGTATGTTGATGTATGCCTGGTTCAGTATGTTGATGTATGCCTGGTCCAGTATGTTGATGTATGTATGTCCAGTATGTTGAGTATGCCTGGTATGCCTGGTTCAGTATGTTGATGTATGCCTGGTCCAGTATGTTGATGTATGCCTGGTCCAGTATGTTGATGTATGCCTGGTCCAGTATGTTGATGTATGCCTGGTCCAGTATGTTGATGTATGCCTGGTCCAGTATGTTGATGTATGCCTGGTTCAGTTAATGTATGCCTGGTTCATGTATGTTAATGTATGCCTGGTGTTGATGTATGCCTGGTCCAGTAGTATGTGGTGTATGTATGCCTGGTTCAGTATGTTGATGTATGCCTGGTCCAGTATGTTGATGTATGCCTGGTTCAGTATGTTGATGTATGCCTGGTTCAGTATGTTGATGTATGCCTGGTTCAGTATGTTGATGTATGCCTGGTTCAGTATGTTGATGTATGCTTTGTCCAGTATGTTGATGTATGCCTGGTTCAGTATGTTGATGTATGCCTGGTTCAGTATGTTGATGTATGCCTGGTTCAGTATGTTGATGTATGCCTGGTTCAGTATGTTGATGTATGCCTGGTTCAGTATGTTGATGTATGCCTGGTTCAGTATGTTGATGTATGCCTGGTTCAGTATGTTAATGTATGCCTGGTTCAGTATGTTGATGTATGCCTGGTTCAGTATGTTAATGTATGCCTGGTCCAGTATGTTAATGTATGCCTGGTCCAGTATGTTAATGTATGCCTGGTCCAGTATGTTAATGTATGCCTGGTCCAGTATGTGAATGTATGCCTAGTTCAGTCTAGCGAAGTTCGGTTTTCCTGTACGAGGCCTTTAATGACTGCAATTGCCTCGTAAAGTTAAATTTCCAGGAAATTTGGCCACAAGTTTATCTTGGGGGCGGGGGATCACTAGTCAGTGTGCATGACCCGGTAGGGAACAATTAGGGGATCATTAGTCGGTGTGCATGACCCGGTATGGAACAATTAGGGGGTCACTAGTCAGTGTGCAACCCGGTAGGGAACAATTAGGGGGTCACTAGTCAGTGTGCATGACCCGGTAGGGAACAATTAGTGGGTCACTAGTCAGTGTGCCTGACCCGGTAGGAAACAACTGGGGGGTCACAAATCAGTGTGCATGACCCGATTGGGAACCCCACCACCTCCCCCCCCCCCAAAAAAAAGGGGGGGGGGGGTCAGTAGTCAGTGTGCATAACCCGGTAGGGAACAATCTCTCACAGATATCCCGCAGTTCAGATTCCTACTCCACTCATTGACTTGAGCGGTTGGATGTGATTGTTGTGTTTTAGTGTAAAGAACTCAGTTGTGTTTTATTACATACTGCTGTAACTCTGTAACAATGCACGTGGCGAAATGCAGTGAAATATGCCAAGAAATTAACTGTACAATGTACTGTCTGTGTTCGCATTATTTAAATTCATTCGGGGGAAACATTTCTTTGAATAACATAATTAGCTAGTTTTTCAATAACACTTTATTAAACTAGTTTCTGTGTTTTAGCAGACACATCTTTTCATGTTAACATCGTTCATCTTCCTGGTTCTAGACGCTAACAACATTCAGTCATCTCGTTAAGGTAACAGCTGGAGTTAATCACCAAAAGAAATGTGCCATTTGTTCACTAAAGCAGCTTGCAGATATGTGGGATCAATAAAGTAATGTGTTTAAATGTTATTATGTGTAGTTAGCGCTGGGAAATCGGTCACTATACGCGTAGAGTTTATGTGAACATGTGTGTGCGTGTGTGTGTGTGTGCGCTGCGAGTATACTAGTCCCAGCACTGTCGGAGTGGGGAAGGGGGGGGGGTGTCAACTGACAATTTCAGATTTTTCCCATCTTGACAAACAGTGTGGCGCGCTATTAAGTTATCTTCGCACTCCCCTCATTAATTTATTCCACACTCCCTAACAATTTGTTAGAATCGCCTGCTCTTGGCGCCTCAAATTCCAACGCTCGTTAAAACGTGATAAAAGGGGAATGAATATAACATATCAAAAAGAACAGACATGGGCAATGTCTGCTAGTAAAGGAGGGATGGAAACATCCCTTGCTTGACATGAGTCTTTGAAATCATGAGGCTACAGAAGTGCAGGGAATAGAGACGGAGATGTGTCTGATCAAACTGTTCGGAACAGACTGCCAACGGAAGGAGTCATTTAATGCACACTGAAGGAAGCTTGAATGCGTAACGATACGTCCATGAAATTCTTCGACCACATGACCTTCCATTTTGGGATGTCAACAGATATCTTTTTCAACAGGACAACGCCAGACCCAATTCTGCACAGCTGACCACGCAGTTCCTGGCTGCCAATAACATTCAAACCCTTCCATGACTATCCCTGTCAGCAGACAGGAGTACCTGTGGGATGAGCTGCAAAGACGTGTTTGTCGCCGAAACGTTGCTACAACCAATGGTGGTGATCTGCTCCAGGCACTCCTGGAAGAGTGGGCAGCCATCCCACAGACCCACATCAGACATCTGATCGCATCCATGCCCAGGAGATGCCAGTCACTGATCCACGCAAGAGAAGGCCACACACCACACTAACAGGAAAGGCCTACGCTTAAAAACTATCTTGACCCAGATGCAAAAAAGGCGTCAATTAATTGGTGGAACCATAGGGTATTCTTGTGTGAAATTTGAGTAATTTCACTTACTGCATTACAAAGATGCAGAATGTCAAAATTGTGAGTCTGTTTGTTTCTTTCAGTAACTATGCGGTTTTTTTTAAACAGTATAGAATGGCAATGAGGCCCGGCGATGCAGTCACCTGGCTTTAGTTACCCAGTCAGCAGTACTGGACACCAAATGGGCTGTCCTGGGCGATCATGGAAGTGACCATCTGCCATGTTCGGTATTGATCTCCAAATTCAGGAAAGTAAAGGCTTCAAGAGCTCATAGGCCTTTCAAATATGACACCCTCCTCTGACAAAGGACATATAAGAGGACCGGCAGATCTACTTTTATGCAGCCTCAATGGTGGACATCAGAGGTTGAACAGGCATGGGAGTTAAAGAGAGCTGCAGTAAAGAGTTGGAGTGCGCGGAAATATACAAGAAAGATAAATAGTTTTTCAAGCGCTGTGTGGCAGAGGCAAAAAAAAAAAAAAGCAAAATGGGGGCATTTTATTGATGAGATTGGGGGCGATAAGACATTGGAAATATTTTGGAAGCTACATAGGCAGATGCTCAAGAAAAATAGGCCCAGCGTAGTGGGAACAATTCATAGAGATGACAGTATGCTATTAACCACAGACAAGGAAATGGAGGAGGCTTTCTAGAAGAGGTTCATTTCACAGACAGACCAAAACGATGGAGATAACAGATATACAGTTAGAGAAGATCTGGCAGCCATCTTTAAGAACAAATATTATAAAAACATCACACAGGTGGAAGATGTAAAACGTGTTCCGAAAATGGCGAAAGACACTGCACCCGGGCCCTACGGGGTTAAATATTCCCAAATGAAAGACATGAGTGATGCAGACCTCTTGAAGATGAATGCTTGTATCAACCAGAGCATTAGGACAGCTTCAGTTCCAGCAGATTGTTAGGGCTGATGTTTCCAGACTCAAAATAAATGACAGGGACATCAAAAGAAACAGGAGACTGCGGTACCTGGGAATAACCTTTGACAGAAGTTTGTCTTTCACGGATCACATATAGGGGTTCGTGACAGGGGCTCAAAAAGGTTTAATGCTCTAAAGATTATGACAGCGATGGACATGGAGCAGAGAATGCTGATTACACTTTACCTCTCTGTGGGGGTTCCGAGATACCTTGAAGGGGAAAAGAAGAACAGATCCATTGCCTGTCCTCTAACAAGCATGTCGTAAAAATCATAAGGGTATCCAGGGGGGGGGGGGGAGGCAGGGATAAATAGAGAGGTATGCGAGTAAAAAATAAGTGCAGAGGAAGATAGGGAGAGTGTTGTATATGATTTATGGAGGTAGGAAAGGAATGGATGAGTGTAGTGCTGGATGTAGGGACATAGAAAAAGAATTGTGAAGGCAGAAAGGAAAGTGCAGAACGTGATATGAAGGATTAAGGAGGCAGACAGATAGGGAAGTAGGTAGGAAGGATAAAAGGGAACAAGGAGAAAAAGGCAGACATAATTGTATTATTGATTATGTGGGTATGTTATTGAGGAGGGAGATGAAGGAGAAAGTAAATAGAGAAACCAACATGAAAGTACTGAATACGGTATTTAGGAGGGAGATGGGGAATTAAATAAGACGGCAGATAGACATAATGTAGGGACGAGTGTAGGTTGTATTATGTGTGTATGTTTGTGGGGAGAAACAGAAGAGGAACGAGAAGAAGAAGAAGAAGAAGAAGAAGAAGAAGAAGAAGAAGAAGAAGAAGAAGAAGAAGAAGAAGAAGAAGAAGAAGAAGAAGAAGAAGAAGAAGAAGAAGAAAAAGAAGAAGAAGAAGAAGAAGAAGAAGAAGAAGGAGGAGGGAGGATTAGGAGGATTAGGAGGACGAGGCGGTAGTGTAGGAGGAAACAGACGCAGACGAGAGACGGGTAATTAATGTTTGTATTGATTATAGAGAGGAGTGGAGGAATATACTACAAGCTATTTGTGACCAAAAATAGCACAACGGGGCGACGGCGATGATGATGATGATGTTTTTGACTGCTAGATATTGTCAATATTACTGCCTAAATCTGTTGCTTTGCATATTTCAAATCTATGCAACCGTAAAATTATTCAAGATTTCATCCGTATTTTAAAGCTTTCTATTTCAATGACAAATAAGACCGAGTTTGCTGAAAATCAATCTCTTAACAGTAGTGACATTACTCAATATTATAAATAAATTCAAGCGTAACTATACTGCTGCCATCTCCATGACAACCAGTTTTCTTAAGAAAATACATAACTTTATATGTAACACACACACACACACACACACATATATATATATATATATATATATATATATATATATATATATATATATATATATATATATATATATATATATATATATATATATATACATACATAGAGAGAGACAGACAGACAGACAGACAGACAGACAGACAGACAGACAGACAGACAGACAGACAGACAGACAGACAGACAGACAGGACAGACAGACAGACAGACAGACAGACAGACAGACAGACAGACAGACAGACAGACAGACAGACAGAGAGAGAGATAGAGAATGCAGAAGCCGACATGAAAGGACAGAATACGGTATTTAGGAGGAATATGGAAAAGTCAATGAAGTATATAAAGCGGCAGACAGACAGAATGTAGGCACGAGTATACGTCTCATTATGTGTGTATATTTGCGCAGAAAGAAAGAAGAAGAAGGATGATAAGAAGAGAAAGAAAAAGAAGAATATATATATATATATCATCAAATATCATCAAATATACATGATTAAATTGAAAGTAATAAATACATCATTTAAGGTTCTTATATACATATGCATGTTTGTGTATGTCCAAGCGGGCGTGAGCGGGTGTGTGTTTTGTGTGTGTTGTGTGTGCTATGTGTATGGGGACGGGAGGGGAGGGAAAAGGAAGGGGGGGGGTGTCATAAAATCATATCAAACAACTGACAGATTGTGCAAACAGGCAAGCAGAAAAGTTGACCGACAGGCAAAAAAATAGATGCATACTGGAGACACACCGTAAAATAAGAGGCAGACAACGGACAACAGTTTTGGGACAAGCACAAGAGAAACTGGTAGGCAGGGAAAAAACAGACATATGAGATGTAGCCGCCATGGTGCAGCGACTAGACGCTCGCCTGTTGATCGGAAGGTCCTGGGTTCGGGCCCTGACGAAGCCGGACTTTTTCTTTTTTTTTTTTCAAATATAACCCTGGCTCCCAGATTGACCCAGCCTTATGTGGGTACCAGGCTGAGTCTTGTGAAGTAAAGGCGGTCTGCTGACCACATCACCCACTGAGTGCTGATTGGTTTAAAAAATACAGGTCCCGCCCTATATGCCCAATATGCATGGAAAATGCTCTTTTACTTTTGCTTGACTTTTAGAAGACAGACAGGCAGACAGACAGGCAGGACAAAGACAGACAGACAGGCAGGGCAAAGACAGACAGACAGGCAGGGCAAAGACAGACTGACTGACAGACAGACAGACAGACAGACAGACAGACAGACAGACAGACAGACAGACAGACAGACAGACAGACAGACAGACAGACAGACAGACAGACAGACAGACAGACAGACAGACAGACAGACAGACAGACAGACAGACAGGGCAAAGACAGACACAGACAGGGCAAAGACAGACAGACAGACAGACAGACAGACAGACAGACAGACAGACAGACAGACAGACAGACAGACAGACAGACAGACAGACAGACAGACAGACAGACAGACAGACAGACAGACAGACAGACAGACAGACAGACAGACAGACAGACAGGGCAAAGACAGACAGACAGGCAGGGCAAAGACAGACAGACAGACAGACAGACAGACAGACAGACAGACAGACAGACAGACAGACAGACAGACAGACAGACAGACAGGGCAAAGACAGACAGACAGGCAGGGCAAAGACAGACAGACAGGCAGGGCAAAGACAGACAGACAGGCAGGGCAAAGACAGACAGACAGGCAGGCAGGGCAAAGACAGACTGACAGACAGACAGACAGACAGACAGACAGACAGACAGACAGACAGACAGACAGACAGACAGACAGACAGACAGACAGACAGACAGACAGACAGACAGACAGACAGACAGACAGACAGACAGGACAAAGACAGACAGACAGACAGACAGACAGACAGACAGACAGACAGACAGGACAAAGACAGACAGACAGACAGACAGACAGACAGACAGACAGACAGACAGACAGACAGACAGACAGACAGACAGACAGACAGACAGACAGACAGACAGACAGACAGACAGACAGACAGACAGACAGACAGACAGACAGACAGACAGACAGACAGGACAAAGACAGACAGACAGACAGACAGGACAAAGACAGACAGACAATTTCGCAACAGGCGGAACAAGCAGCAGTCAGCAGATAAGCCATCGCAAGAACATACACATGGATGATAAACAAACCGACACACGTACGTAAAACGAATAAGTGGTGAGTGGGCATAGCGCCACCCTTTAAACTTAGCTTAGATTTGTTTTCTTGTTGCATTTTTAGCAAGGGGGGATGCTACATCATGAGAGCCTATCAAAAGGTTTATACATCGGAGGACTTGATGCATTAGGGGCAGCAGTAGATGGGGATAGGTCGGTTGGGTGGGTTGGTAAAGTCGGGTAAAAGAGACGTGGCTGAAAGTGTTGAGAAGGCATAAAGCATTCGGTTGTAAAGGGAGAGGCTCTCTTCTGCATTCCGGTAAACAGGCGATCATGACGATGAGAATGATGGTGATGAAGATGATGGTGATGAAGATGATGGTGATGAAGATGATGGTGATGAAGATGATGGTGATGAAGATGATGGTGATGGAGATGATGGTGATGGAGATGATGGTGATGAAGACGATGGTGATGAAGATGATGGTGATGAAGATGATTGTAATGCTGGCAGTGGTGGGAATGATGGTGGTGTTCGTAATGATGATGATGATGATGATGATGATGATGATGATGATGATGGTTTGTGCTAATGACTATTGTGATCGTGATTAAGACTATGGTGATGACGATGACGTAGACGATGATGATGACAATAATAATGATAATCTATCATTCTGATGACGGTGACGATGAAAATGCTGATGATAATGATGATGGTAATGATGACGACGACGATAAGGATGATGAAGAGGATGTGGATGATGATGAGGAGGAGGATAAGAATGAGGATTAGTGATTAGAAAGACTTATCATCACAGCCCTCCGGATAGATCCATAGGTGCTCCGATCTCCTCCTCAAAAGCTTCACAAGTGTAAAACGACTGACGACGCCTGTTCTGTGTTGGTTAATGATACTTCTTGTCCCCCTCAGTGAAATGTTCATTTCTTGCAGCTCCAGGCTGAACTCCCATGTCCATCAGTCTAGACAGGGATATGGAGTAATTTCCTTTAGCGTGCTCCTCGGTACGGTAAGTGCAGGATGAGGGTGATGATGATGATGATGATGATGATGATGATGATGATGATTATGATAGTGGTGGTGATAATGACGAAGAAAACAATGATGAGCATGATGATGATGCTAATGATGATAGTGGTGGTGATGATGAAGATGATAACAATGATGAGCATGATGATGATGGTGGTGAAGATGATGATAGTGGTTGTTATGATGACGATGATAACAATGATGATGATGATGATGACGATGACGACGATTATTATTATAAAGAGGAGGAAACAGTAAAGCGAAAGGCTAAAATGTTAGTGCACGTATGCAGAAGTGAACAAGGCATTATAAAGCAGGCTATATTTTTGTTTACATGGCTGAGAGTACAGATTGCGCAGAAAATAAAACAAATACCTCTCCAGTCGCTGAAAGAAAAAATTTCGCAGCACCACTGATCTGGGAAGCAAAACAAAAAAGAGGTTACAACACAATTTCGGGGATTAAATTAAGTTATTATTAAACCAAAACAGATGCAAAGTTGTTAATATAGCATGAGTCATTTTCAAAATAATAAAACTTTGCAACACATGTCAGACGACTAAAATAACTTTGGGCAAAAGAAACTGAAATGTGAATGCGGGAAGTAAGTCAAATCAGAAGTTCACTTCAACACTTATTTTCGAAACTCGAATTACTGTTTCACGTGTCAATTAGTAATGCACAGCTTAATCAGGAGAGTGAGTAAGGTACAGGACCCTTTTCCACGCTTTTAGGCGTATAGGGCATATAGGGCTAGACCTAAATTTTTATAGACCAATCGGCACAAGATACGTGATGTGGTCAGCATCACACTTGCCGCCTTTACTTTGCAGGACTGCAGCTGGTACCCACTCAAGGCTGGGTCTACCTGGGAGTTAATGTTATTTTGGAGAAAAGAAAGTCCGGCTCCGCCAGGGTAGCGAACCCACGTATGAACTGGTCTTTTGGGAAATATAACTGGGTAACTCTAAAATGACAATGCAGCGGCTTATTCGTCGCATTTGGTTCATATTTTCTCTTCCGAACATAAGAATCTTTATGTTGGTCACACTTTATGTTCTCCCGACTAAACTTTTCCTGACTGTTGACTATCGTTCAATCAAACCATGACCGCACAGCGAGCAAACAAACGCCGGTGACCGGTGACACAAGGTGCTACTATCCGGATTAGGATCACCCTAACACAAGTCCCTGAAACCCACTTCAACTGTAAGGTTTTATTAGGGCCCCCGACTATGCGGTGCTTTAGAATAACGACAAATTGCGTCCCATAATGGGACGGGTGTGATTGACGGGTAGTTGGGAATTCCCCAAAGAAAAACGATTTGAGACATGGACAGACAACACGCAGGCACAAAAGCATAATGGTACCCATCCTCGAAAGTGTCTTTTAGAATTCTCCCAAAAATCCTGGGAGAAAATTTGTAATCCAATAAGATAACTTTATATGAGATTTGTATTTGATTCCCCCAGGTGAGTAATTTGTAGGTGTTTTTTTCGGCCACAGATCGGATTTTTTATTTTTATTTTCAATAGACCTCGTACCATCATCCAGCAAGTGACTCTATCGATGAGAGTGCACTATAACTATACTGTAATCATTAATTATGCCTTCTTTAATAATGTCACAACTTTTACCCGACTATTCTTGATTTTTTGCGCGGCACGCCTGGCATACGCTCGCGTCACCCCAGGGTACCGCGTCACCCAGTTTAAGAACCTCTGCTCTAGACACTAGCGACCTCCCAGATACAAAACAACTGTCAACCGATTGGTTGAGCTCAAGGTATTACTGTGTGATATTTGAAAATCTTCACTAACTAAATTACAGATCGTTTGAATGTCAAAGGTGTGAAAAAATAATTTTTCTTTCAGTAGCTATGCGTTTTTTTTTTTTTTTTTAATAACATAGTTACGGCTCTCAACTCATAGCGATAATTATGACTGGCGTCTGCATGTCGCTGTTAAAGAGTTACCCTCTTTGGACGGGTTCCTTTAAAGTAAATTTCACTAACTGGTCGTACACCGGAACCTACCAATCACATACCTTTCTTAAATGTTTGTATATTCTAGACAAAGCATTAAGGTCTACTGTGCTCGTAAATCGTTGCTGTGATTGTTATTCGACAAATGCTTCGGTAATATAAATTTCTGTAACCTATGGAGCCATTTCAATGGTTTAAAATTAATTATGTCCGTATTCCATAGTTGTGGATTTCAAGCTGTACGATAGACATGGCCAATACGACACCTTTTTTTCTGGGGGTGCCTAGTTGACCATGGTCTTAGCGCACTTGTATCCATAGCGAGATTCAATTCCCGGCACGGTAACCACAGCTTTCGATTTTTATGTTGTCTAGTGTGTTCTTCGATCTTTCTACTTCTTTCGATGAGTGCCGATCAATACACTCTCTGTTACTCTTTCCTAACAGTGTTACCAGGGCAACGTTCTTTTGTCAACTATGTGCCACTTCCACGTGTCATGAAAACACAACACAAAGTTTACAGCTCAATACAATTGTATGTGCAAAATCCAAACTGGTATTATAAAAGACGTCGAAAGTGTTATAATGGTGAATGACCAAGCCCAATTGCCTTTAATTTTTGATTTTAACACCCCAGGGGAGTCACAGTGGCGTAGCGGCTAGACGCTCGCCTGAAGATCGGAAGGTCGTGGGTTTAAAAAATGACATTGACTCCCAGCCTTGAGTATGTACCAGTTGCAGTACCTGGAAGTAAAGGCGGCCGGCAAGATGCTAACCACATCACGCATTTTGTGCTGAATGGTCTATACAAATGCAGGTCTTGCCCTATATGCCCTATACGCATAAAGGCGTCCACCTTCCGTGTGTGTGATACTTCGGTATGTGCCCGCGTTTGCATGCGTCCACTTTCATGTTAAAACGCGAACAATTTTGCTTGTTATACGACCTTAGTTTAAAATACGACTCGCATCCTAGAACTTGCATGAATCAAAATGAATCATGACACCCCAAGCTACCACTGTTTACCTCACTCATTAATCGGGAAAATATCTGCCAAATGGATGGAGGTCAGACAATGAGCAGAGAAGTCACACGCCGACAAAGCTTAAACGAGCCGTAATAGCTTTGTATGTAGAATGATCAGACAATATCACATTTTTCAAATATAATCAGGAGAAGGCAAAAGCAAAGTTCTTTGGATACATTTTTAGTCAAAGTCAAACACTGTTCGCCTCAGCTAATTCCAAGTAGGGAAAAGAGACGGAGGAAATAGGAAACAGGAAAAATTAACACAACACACACACCAGAAATCACTTTCCTGAAATTATACTAGAAGTAAAGTAAGTTGAGATTCCTTTTCACGCCTTAAGGCGCATCGGGCACATGGGAAGAGCGCCCATATTTTTCCAGACCAATTGACACTAGGTGGGTAATGTGGTCAGCATTACGCCGGCCGTCTTGACTTCACCAGGACAGCCATCCTGGTATCCATTTTAGGCTGGGTCGACCTGCCAGGCCGCATACCATGATACCAATTCACGCAGCCAGCAGTGGGTTTTGATCGCGCTACGTTGGAATTACGAGTCGGACTCGCAACGCTAAGCCACGAACGCCGCTTTTACTAGAAGGGGAATCTCCGAAAACAACACCATCTTCTGCTTCTTCTTTCTCAGCCTCATCCTAGCAGACACTCGACTTTTTAAGCAGGTAAAAATCAGGTTAAATGTTAATTTTATGTCACGTAACTGCTATATTGCATAGTAAAGGCGGCTGGTGTGATGTTGGGTGGGGGAGGTGATGGACTTCACACCTTTACTTCCGATGACTTTACCTGGTTGGTACCTATTCAGGCTGGGTCGACCTGGGAGCCAAGGTTATTTTTAGAAGGGAGAAAACCCCTGCGGCGTATTATCCAGGTACCCGCACTTTGAACCATCGCAAAAACCAGGCGCCCATATTTAAGGTGAAGAGAAGCCCAACGTGGAAGTGAGAGCCTGCCACGTGTCAGCTCACAGCACGCCGGTGTCAGGAATGTCCACCAGATGTTATAGATTCGCACAAAGTGCAACAAACATGGTTACAGACACTAACAAACATGATTACAGACACTAGCAAACATGGTTACATACACTAACAAACATGGTTACAGACACTAGCAAACATGGTTACATACACTAGCAAACATGGTTACATACACTAGCAAACATGGTTACATACACTAGCAAACATGGTTACATACACTAGCAAACATGGTTACAGACACTAGCAAACATGGTTACATACACTAGCAAACATGGTTACATACACTAGCAAACATGGTTACATACACTAACAAACATGGTTTCATACACTAACAAACATGGTTACATACACTAACAAACATGGTTACATACACTAACAAACATGGTTACATACACTAACAAACATGGTTTCATACACTAACAAACATGGTTTCATACACTAACAAACATGGTTTCATACACTAAGCAAAAACATGGTTAGCATACACTAACAAACATGGTTTCATACACTAACAAACATGGTTACATACACTAACAAACATGGTTACATACACTAACAAACATGGTTACATACACTAACAAACATGGTTTCATACACTAACAAACATGGTTTCATACACTAACAAACATGGTTACATACATTAACAAACATGGTTACATACACTAACAAACATGGTTACATACACTAACAAACATGGTTTCATACACTAACAAACATGGTTACATACACTAACAAACATGGTTACATACACTAACAAACATGGTTACATACACTAACAAACATGGTTACATACACTAACAAACATGGTTACATACACTAACAAAAATGTTTACATACACTAACAAACATGGTTTCATACACTAACAAACATGGTTACATACACTAACAAACATGGTTACATACACTAACAAACATGGTTACATACACTAACAAACATGGTTACATACACTAACAAACATGGTTACATACACTAACAAACATGGTTACATACACTAACAAACATGGTTACATACATTAACAAACATGGTTACATACACTAACAAACATGGTTACATACACTAGCAAACATGGTTACATACACTAACAAACATGGTTACATACACTAACAAACATGGTTACATACACTAACAAACATGGTTACATACACTAACAATCATGGTTACATACACTAACAAACATGGTTACACACACTAACAAACATGGTTACATACACTAACAAACATGGTTACACACACTAACAACACAAGAAGGCACAGGGTTAAGAATACCAGCATAAGAGAGCGAGCTGGAATAAGAAAAT